TGTGATATTTGCTGGTGAACAAAATTACTACTTGGATATTGTGATTAATGTCCACATTCTTACTTTTTAGTGTAACTTTGGCCAGTTTTAGTGAGAGAGAGAGAGAAAGGAGAGAGATCTTGCAAAATAAGAGGGAAGATAAAAGTACATCAGTATGGAACGTACCACTGCAGGTGTAAAAACACAGTTTTGAGCACAGGTACACTGCTACCATCATGACAATGTACAGTAAACAAAGCACACTGGGGAGAAGCTTAGAGAACAAATTCTCTGATAAACTGTTTTATGACAGCAATTGCTGTTTAACAAAAGCATTTAAAATATAAGCACACACCTGGTTGAAACTTAAATGGTACAGTCAACAATTCTGGGTTGTAGAAACTGAGCCTCTTAAGTAAAATAGTGGTCTTTTAGTACCTAGATTGCCACAAATTTTAACTTGGAAATACATATGCTTTGGGATGGAAAGTTGCAAAGGGAATCCAAAGAAACATCTGGAATGACAGGAAAGAAAAATAGTAGAACCCAAGAACGCATTATTTAGCATGAAGAGTTTTGACTTTATCCCTGACTTTTCTTGCATTTATGCATGAATGAAAACTACTTGGAAAATATTTTTAACCTAAAGTCAGCTTGTTATTGAAATTTGAGCCAACACAATTGAGAATGGCTTTCTCATCATGGCTTGGAAATTAATGCACCTCATTGTATTAATAATACCTGTCAAGTCCTAATTGTATCCTTTTTTGATATAATGTATAGTATCTTAATTATTGATCACAATTTAAAATGTGGTATGTTGCATTTCTTTATGGAATATCATACTGTAGAATGCCATCCGTTTTTCCCAAGAAACTTTAGAAATAATTGGGTGGGGCATTAAATCACCTGAACAGAAAGCAACAGATTTCCCCCTACACACACACAATTTTTCAATTTTGTTAAACAGTACTAACTTAAACACAGCTGACCTGACTAGCTATACTCTGTTCTATAATATTTGCCAACTTAGTTTCCCAAGTAAGGCAGGTATAAGAGCCGTGGTGGCGTAGTATTAGTAGAATGCAGTATTGCAAGCTAACTCTGCCAAATGCTAGCAGTTCAATCCTGACAGGCTCAAGGTTGACTCAGCCTTCCATCCTTCCAAGGTCGGTAAAATGAGGACCCAGATTGTTGGGGGCAATAGGCTGACTCTGTAAACCACTTAGGGCTGTAAAGCACTATGAAGTGGTATATAAGTCTTTAAGTGTTATTGCTGTTATCTTTTTTCAAGCAAATATGCTTGTCAAAAGGCTGCTTGAAAAGGCTGTCCTAATTAAAATCTGAAATTTAATTTTGTCCTTGGAAACATGTAGAGTTTAGTTGCCGTAGTATGCAGGCACTGGGACAGGTAAGTTCTACTATTCGGAGGCAACAAAGTTGGAGAAGGCTGTTCTTAAAAGTACAAAACACCTTAAGTGTTAAATATATACCGTAATGGTACGAGTTCACCTCTTCAGATAATAAAGTAGGTTTGTAATGACTAACGGTACAATTTTATAAAAGAAAAATCTATTTTAGAACCAAGGACCCATCTATAAATCAGGAATTCTGATTTTCTCCTCTTCCCTTATATGTACTTGCAAATTTGCAGTCTATATATTGACAAAAGACTTGTTCTGGTCTTTTATTATACATGGAAATATATTTTGGATGGAAGAGACTGAAAATCTTGCCTAATATTCGACACAAAGTTGCTTCAGGATTCAAAAGAGGAATCGAGTATCATTTTTAACTGCATTTCGGCTTTGTACACTGAGTTACATAGTTCAACTATTGAATACTGTAGTGAATATGGAGAATGTAATGTGTTTGTAATTACATACCTTAATTTGGGGGATTGGTTCTCATTTGTCTAAGTATTCCTTGTTCATGCAATATCTGCCACTGCGTGGTAACTATTATTATTACAACCAAACTTAGATCCAGTATAAATTCTCAGTTTATTATCTTTGGAGTAAAATGCTAATCTTTTGACAGTTGAAGTTTAAATTATAGATTCTTATGTAAATAATGGTGCTTGTATAACCTTCAGCCCAAGAAAACACTCCGAGTTGGAGTTTGTATATTTTTATGTTAGTAAATTTGTGTTGTCCTAAATTTAAGTTTCTGCTTTGTATATTGTCTGATTTTGTTTTTCCAAATGAAATGAATGAATTTGTTAATAACTGAATGTTTGTGTAACTGAATGTTTTGATACCTATTTTATAACTTAGCACATCTGAATATATTTCAGATTTGTGTCATAAATAACCCTTTAAAACATTGTGGTGTGTCTTTTTCTACTTACTAAAATCTGATAAAAACAGTTTTACATGGAACCGGAATAAAATACGATTTAAAATGAAATTGGAATAAAATATAATAATTTAATATATATATTGTAGATAAATAAAATATGCTAAAATTATACTTCAGTATCACCCCTACAATCTACCTCAATCAGTCCCAGATACGCCAATCTTAACCGAACCATTTTGCTCAAGTACTGTGCTGTGTTAAATATTTTCAGATTCTGGCTGCACATACGTTGTTTTGATATGGGGATCCCAATGGGTCATTTGTTTAGTATATAGACCAAGGTACCTGTCTCTCACCCACTTACACAGGCAACAATCAAATAGGATGTGAGCCAGGTCTTCTACCTCTGTCATTCTGCAAATGCAGAGACGTTCATTACAGGGTATAGACTGGAATCTCCCATACCCTGTATCAGATCAGCTGTGTGTACCTAACCTAATTTGGCTTGTCTAATCCTGAGAGCAAAGCTTGCCCAGGAAGCAAACAGCAACAGCAAACCACAGTAATGTCAAAATGACATTGTGTGATGTCATTAGGCATATTTTGTCACTTGCACACCCTTTGCAAGTGCTGAGAAGGGCCTGGGGAGTGAGTTCAAGCAGGTGTCATTTTCAGATAGGTCAAGAGGAGTGGGATGGAGATGCAAAATGGCTTCTTGGGGTTGGTTGTTGTGCTTCACTTCCCATCAGCAAGACCTGAATTGGCAGGTTGAGTTCCCTTTCCATTTTTGGAGTGCTGTGGTCCATGCCAGGCCCATCTGGCCCTAAAGAGTTCCATCCACCGTACAACAGTGAGAGATGGTTGGCCTGGCAGTTCTTACTGACACCATTGCTTTTCAAAGGAGCAATATCAAGTGTCTTCCCAGGAAACCAGATCTGGTGCAAAGATGAAGCTGCTGAGAATGAAGAGAAATCCTATGCTACCTCATGCCCAACAGCATCTTCCCTATTGAGCTGGCAGAAACCATGAATACAAAGTAAGAGTTGAAAGAGACCTTGGAGGTCTTCTAGTCGAAACCCCTGCTCAAACAGGAGACCCTAGTCCTTTCCAGGCAAATGGCTGTCCAATCTCTTCTTCAAAACCTCTGGAGCACCCACTACTTCTGAAGGCAAGCTGTTCCACTGGTTGATTGCTCTCACTATCAGGAAATTTCTCCCCAATTCTAGGTTGGATCTCTCTTTGATAAATTTCCTTTTGTTACTTCTTCTCCTGCCCTGAGGTGTTTTGGAGAATAAATGGCTCCCCTCTTCTCTGTGAGAGTCCCTCAAGTACCAGAAGACAGCTATCACGTCAATCCTAGTCCTTCTCTTCCTTAGACTAGACATACCCATTTTGTATAACCATTCTTTATATATATTTAGCCTCTAGCTCTCTAATCATCTTTGTTGTGGTTCTCTGCACACTTTCCAGGTGTAGAGTTGTAATTGCAGGAATTTTCCTATCTTGGATGGCAAACCTCAGATAAAGAATGTTTACAAGCAAGTACAACTCAGGCAAACAAAGTCACTAATCTAAAGGAGGATTAGAGAGAGGAAGTAAACATATGTTAGACTTTAACTAGAGATAATTAATTGTGTTAATTACTATTATGCTAAACAGTAACAAAAGTGAAGCAGTAACCAAAGTTAACCAATGTTGGAGGATTACTAAAAATGTGTATAAATAAATGCAAGACTAGACTCCAATAAAGTTCATCATTATTCAGTTGATCATGATCAAACACCTCGACTGCCTCGTTATTACAACATCCAGGGTCTCAATATCTTTTTTTGGATCGTGGTGACCAATATTGGATACACTATTCCAATGTGGTGAGCTTCCCTGATGAGCTGGCAGAAGCCATGAACCCCAGGGTAGTTTTCTGTTCTCCAGATTGCCCTCTAATTGAGTGGCTGAGACTCCCATCAGCCCAGTCATGGGCTGGGGGTTTGATCTGAATGCAGGTTAGAGATTAACAGAGTTGGAAGGGACCTTGTTGGTCATCTAGTCTAACTCCCCACCCAAGAAAGAACCCTACACCACTTGACAGATGGCAGTCCAGTCTCTTCTTGAAAGCTTCCAGTGATGAAGCTCCCACAATTTCCAAAGGCAACTTCTGTTCCATTGGTTGATTGTTCTGTCAGAAAAATTCTCCTTATTTCCAGGTTGGATCTCTCCTTGTTTAGTTTCCATCCATTATTCCTTATGTGGCCTACAGGTGCTTTTAAAATAGGTTGACCCCCTCCTCTCTGTAGCAGCCCCTCAAATATTGAAACATTGCTATCATGTCTCCCCTGGTCCTTCTCTTCACTAGACTAGCTGTGCCCAGCGGAAGTCCTGAATGCAAACCCAATCTAGATCAGTGTTTTTACAACCTTGGCAACTTTTAAGAATAGGTGGACTTCAAATCCCAGAATACCCCAGCCACCATGAGGCCATATAGGCCACATCCCAGGCTCCTTTGCGCGTTTCTTTCTCCCGCTGGGCGCTTCTGAATTCTCCTCAGATCGCACATCGCTCCTAGAAGCGCGCGCTCAGGTTGGACCTTCCCGCCCTCAAAACAGGAGAAAGGCATGGGCGTGGCTAACGCCCTCTTCGCCCCGCCCTCCAAGTAGCGCCCCTCCCTTCTGCTTTCTGGGACTCTGTCCCGCCGCTTTCGCTCTCGCGTTCCGATGGCGTCATCTCCTACGCGCCGCCCCGTGGCTTTCCCCCCTCCCTTCGGCAGCGCGCTTTCGAGTCGCTTCGGAGTGACGTCCTCTTCCTTTTCCGGCCTGGGCTCGCGGCGTGTGAGGAGGTGAGCCGAGGCCTATCCCGGTTCGCGGGGCCGTTTCTTTCTCGCCGCCTTTCCCCGGGGCCGGTGGGGACACGGCGGGAAGGGGGATCTTCCTTTGTTTCCACGGGGCCGGGGCGGTCTTCTTAAGATTACTGCGGGGCGGGGAAGGAAGAATGCGCCCGCGACCCTCCTTTTCCCAATGCTGCCTATACCGAAGGCCAAGCCCCATTAGGAGGGTAGACCCTAGAGTGGGAAGGGCCCTTTGAGGTCATCGAGCCCAGCCCCCTGCACCTGCAGGGCTTCCAGATTAAAATGTCCCAGACAGCTTCGTTTGTTACATTTCTTTCCTGTTTTTCCCATCTTGATGGCTGCCTGGCCACACTTCCTGCGAAGGGGAACCCACCACCTGCCTGGGTTCCTCTTAAGAAAGCAAGCAAAGCTTTGCATGCTTGGCTTTTCTCAGGTATTACCACCCACCCATCCACCCACATACATTGATTTCTACTTTACTGTATCTTGGATCCACCCTTTTTGGCCTGCATTCAAGGCAGCAGAGAACAGATCCTGCCCTTTCCTGTCAGATCCAGCCAGATATCTGATCGAGGATGTTAGATATCTCCATCCTTCCTGCTCAAGGCAAATGCAGATTAGGTTTTTTTAATGGTAATTCTGCTTAGAAGGAAATCTTGGCCCAGCATCTGGAATCAGAATGAGAATAGAGCTGAAAGGGACTTTGGAGGTCTTCTAGTCCAGCCCCCCTTCTCAAGTAGGAGATCCTAATACCATTTCACACAATTGGCTGTCCAGCCTCTTCTTAAAAATCTCCAGTGATGAAGCACCTACAACTTCTGAAAGCAAGCTGTTCCACTGGTTAATTATCCTCACTGTTAGGAAGTTTCTCCTTAATTCCAGGTTGCTCCCAACCATTGTTTCTTGTCCTGCTTTCTGGTGCTTTGGTAAATTGACCCCCTCCTCTTTGTGGCAGCCTCTCAAATATTGGAATACTGCTATCGTGTCACCCTAGTCCTCCTTTTCTCTATATTAGCCAAACCCAAATCCTGCAACCATTGTTCATATGTTTTAGTTTCCAGGCCTTTAGTCATCTTAGTTGCTCTGCAGTTTTTCCAAAGACAAGCCCATTCCTTCTGTTTCACTTAGTGCTCATGAGAACCTAGAAAATGGGGTTGAACAGTCATAGAACCGGAGCTTTTGAGAAAAAATTGATTTAAGAAAGCGAGAGGGAGCAGTGTTTGTAGATTTTTATACTCGGTTTATGAGTTTTATTACCTAGATGCAGATTAGCAGAGCAAATGAATGCAGCCATTCTATGGCCTGTTACTTTCTACATACATGCAAATATACTTTCTGTAGTTTTCAGAGTGGCAGGTAGTTGTACTGGCCAAGGAGAATGAGGAAATGCCTGAGAGTATTCCTGCTTGCATCTGGGAAAAAAGAAGGGACTTCCTTTAGTAAGGATGGGAGAGAGCTTGTATCCTGCCATTCATATACTGTATCTCAAGTGTTATTAAATACAGGATTGTCTTAATGGGGTACTATGGCTAGTAGAGTACCATCTTGTTCCCAAAAGATGCACAAGCCAATATTAGCAATTCCAGTTTCTATTCTGTAAAGTTATGTGCAAATGGACAGCTACAGGTAATCCTTGACTTACACCCAATTGTTTTCAAAGTTACAATGGCACTGGAAAAAGTGACATGACTGTTTTTCACACTCACAACTCTTGCAGCATCCCCATGATCATGTGGTAAAATTCAGGTGCTTAGCACCTGGGATATATTTATGATAGTTGCATTGTCCCAGGGTCGTATGATTACCTTTTGTAACCTACCCAGCCAGCTTCCGACAAAGTCAATGGAAAAGCCAGATTTTCTTAATGACTGCATGATTCACTTAACTGATCTTAGCAATGATCTTTTTAGAAATCTCCCATTGCACTTGATTTGAGGCAAATAAAAGAAGCATAATGCAGAACGACGCTGGGGAATTTGTAGATCTCTACGTGCCTCGTAAATGGTGAGTATATTTGTTCATCAGAAATGGTGTGTCTTGGATATGGCTGTATAATTACTTATTTGATCTTACATGTGACTCCAAATCAGTGGTACTCTTACGTGTGTTAAATTCTCTTCATCTAGTTTGATTAAAATAGTAAAATAGAGTAGCTAAACTAACAATCTCAAAAACAGTAGTACAGAAAAATTAAAAAGACTTGCACCCCCATGGAATAGTAAACAGCCACACGTGCCAGATTATGGAGTCCTAACTTGTATGAATTGTCCATTGGGGTCTTTCTTTAAAAAAATCCAAACTTTTGTGGCTCTAAAAGCTCAACACGATAAATATAGTCTGGTAATCTGGTAAAATAATCTTAACCAGGAAAGCCTCTTATGTATAAGATGCAACTGGCAGGATATCCATGGGTTTATAAGGATCGGAAGGGACAATTTTCTAGCTTCCATCTCAACACATCTGGTGAAAGGAAATCATCACTTTTCTGGGTAGTTATTTCAAACTGCTGTAAGTACTGATAAAGGAGAATATTTGTAACTCAGGGTTGAAATGAGTACTAGCTTTCTGATTCATGATTTCAACTCAAATTATAATGTAATCTTAATGTGTCTTAATTGGACATTGTGTTTTATTCTGGTGCATTACATGCACACAGAGATTTGTTGCATTATTCAAGTAGCTACGTCAATATGCATGATTTACAATTATAAAAAAAGGTATAAGGAGGAATCGGGCATCTTTTCTGACTAATGCATTTCATTAAAAAGCATAAAACAAACTAGCTTGTCAAAAATTACATTTTTAATAACATTTGTTAGAAAAGGGGTTTCTGATTTCTTGTTAGAGTAGATTAGTACATTTGCCCTCGTACTTAATAAGAGAGATTCTGGGGTTTTTAAAAATTATTATTGTGGTACGAACTTCTAAAAAAGTGATAAGTTGGCATGTCAAGAAATGGAATTGATGCTATATGATAGTTATCTAGAAAGATAACAGAGCATTTTTTCTAGATCAATTTCTGATTTTAATTTCTTCTGTTTTTCTATTTCTTTTCCTTTAGCTCTGCTAGCAATCGGATAATTGGTGCTAAAGACCATGCTTCCATCCAAATAAATGTTGCAGAAGTAAGTAAAATCTTTGTAATTCCAAGTTGAAATCTATCAGTGTTTCAAATAAAATAAATAGCTAGTTGCAATGGCATAGTCAAAAATATTTATTTTGGGATGATAGATCCAGATGTATGGACATTAGGCATTAAGCTATATTTCCTAATTTGGGCAAACAATTATGTAATTACAACTGTTAAATCAGAAGCTTTCAGAATACAAGAGAAACTTAGCAATGTAGAGAGAAAGAGAGAATGAATAAGATTAGAATAAAATATTGTACAATGGAGGCTGAAATTTTCCATTTTGTTTCAGTCTTATATTAAAATTTAAAAATCACTTCAAACTTTACCTCTTTTTACTTTCATATTGATGTGCCATGGAATAGCAGTAATGAAAAATTATTCTTTTATAAATGAGAATTTTTGCCCAGATTTCACTCTAGGTCAGAGTAAATGCATCTTTCCCTTTAAACCCATTTGTTGGGGATGGGATTGGGGTTTGCTCAGTTGTCAAACTGGTTAGATATGTAAAACATAACATGAATAAATATATTCTGTGCCTTATACCAATCTGTCAGCTTTCAGATATGATTGTGTAACAGTTAATTGAACCCTCTTGATTCCAATGGCAGGTTGACAAAGCCACAGGCAGAGTGAATGGCCAGTTCAAAGCATATGCCATTTGTGGAGCAATCCGTCGGATGGTAAATCTAATCGTTTTTCAATGCCTCGTTTTTCAATTATAAGAGCAATGCCTATATTACATTAGAAAGGAAATTGTCAGCATTTCTTTGGTATTACAGAACGAATGCAAGCAGGAAATTTTGAATACCATACATTAATATATTGCATAATATTAGAGGTAGTTTGGTCTAGTGGTTAATGCATCAGGTTAGAAATCGGGAGACTATGAGTAAGTCTAGCCCTAACCATGAAAGCCAACTGAGTGACTGAGCCAGTCCCTCTCAGTCCACACAATTTTGTTTTGGTTGTTGTGGAGAAAATAGGAGGGATATGTGTTGGATATGTTCACTTAGTGGTGCAGTGGCCTAAAGGTGGAGCTCTTGCCTCACAATCAGGAGGCTGTGAGTTTGATCCTAGGTAGTGGCAGGTATTTCTCTGGGCACAATGAGTAAATAACAGCTGCGAACTCTGCTCTGCATTGGTGACAGGAAGAGCATCCGGCCAGTAAACACTTAGCTCCATTCAGTTTCCCCAATTCCACTGCAATGGATTACGGGATCATTAAAAGACCAAAAAAAAATGTGTTGGATATGTTCACTGCCTTGAGTTATTTGTAGAAATACTAAAAGGTAGGACATACGTGCAGACATACATAATAAAATAACATTGGGATATAAAATGTTCTATCATGGAATGTTGTAACCTCAAACAGACTGCCTTTCAAATTGTTCAAGAAACAGACAAACATTAGAATGGACTTGTTTCAAGGTGAAACCTCTTCTGGACTATCCATTTCAGTGTCAATGTTTTACTGTGAAATGCTTCACCTATCTTCACCGTAGAAATATTAACACTATTCTAATTTTAGACTATTATAATTATAAATTCTTTCTAACTATAGATGTTCAATCTTGGCTATTTTTAGATTAGAATAGAATAGAATAGAATAGAATAGAATAGAATAGAATAGAATA